AGGCGGGAAGGGCCCGAGGCCGCGCGCAGCACCGCGCTTGGGGGTTCCCTTTGGGGACCGGGCTGGGGAGAGGCTTCACGGTCCCTGGATCCTACCCCGCCGAGAAGTGCTGGGCACAGGAGCGAGCAGCCGGCTTAGCAGGCCAGGGCGTTTTTACAAGAGCCTCCTGGGAAGTTTCCTTCTGGAAAAATCATTAAGGCGGACTGATCCCGATTAGAGGGAAACGGGGCTCCTGGGAAAACGTGCTCCCCGCCGGCCATCAGGCGGCCCGCAGGAGCCAGGCCAAGGCTCCCGCCTCGGGCCACCCCGACACTGCTGCCCCCGCAGAGCCCCGAGCGCCCGCGGCCCGAGCGTGGGCCCCGGCGGCTACCTCCTGGCCGCAGCAGCGCCGATAAATCTGCCAAGTGATTACTGAACGTAAACTCCAGTTACTTAAGTGTCCTCCGAGGGGTAATCGTGTCTGTCCCTATAAATCCCGACCGCGTTCGCGCTCATCAGCGCTTCCGCCCGACGCGCTCGTCCGCTTAAAGGGGGCACACGACCCACAGGAGTCATCCACCGCCCCGCGCCGCAGCCGCCCTCCTCAGCGCTGCGGGATCCCCAGACGCAGGGCTTGAGGTGGGGCGGGAGGGTCCCCAAGACGCCGGTGGCTCCCCCCCAATTCCACGACAGGGTAGGCCTCACCGATGGCGGGAGGCTCGGTCCTCCTGCAACTACAACCTTCTCTAGAAGGGCAGATGTCAACTCCAGCACCCTCCAGGGCGAGTGTGATACTGCGTGTGAGAGGGCGCGTGCCGCGTGTAAATGATGTGAGTGTGAGGACACACAGGTGTCGGTGTCGCGAGAATGGGGTGCAGGCGCAGGAGGATATGTGTGTAAAGTTGTGGGAGACGCATGCAAGCGAAGGTGTACGTGAGAAGTGTGTCACAGTGGGCGAGTGCGAGTGGTCTCTGGGGGCCCGAAAGCGCATTCCTGTCTTCCCGGAGGGGTCCCTTCCCCTCCCAGAAGGCCTGCCTCGAGCGGCCCAAATCAGGCAGCAAATCCCACGCCCGGTGCTCGGAGCGCGGCGACCGCGCGGGGCCTACGACCCGGTGGGAAGAGAGGCGCTTGCCGGGGAGGCCTTGGTCTCTCTTTCCATCGCCCTTCCCGACTTCCCAGGGCCGGGCGGGTAGGGGCTGCCGACCGTCCTGGGCGCCTTCCTGCTCCAGCTGCTGCTGCGTCTGCTCCGAGGTGGCGGCGGCGGCGGCTGGCGCGCGTTGCGGATCCCGGCCGAGGGGCTGCGGGCGCGCTGGAGACTCCGCCGTGTAGGAACCCAACGCGGGGCCTGTGTGTGCTATCGAATTACTTATTCATAGAAAAAAAAGGGGGGGAGAGAAAAAAAAAGAAGTCACATGTCCGGGTTATACGTATGCGAAGAGAAGCAGCAGAAGGAGGAAAAAATGAAGGCGAGCAGGAGGAGGAGGAGAAGCAGCGGCGGAAGTGGCGGCGACGCAGGAGCTGGTGGCGGCGGCGGCGCGGCCGGGGACAGACACCCACCTGTATGAGTGCGCTTGTGGATCTTGAGGTTCTCGGAGCGCGCGAAGACCTTGCCGCAGCCCGGGAAAGGGCAGGGGAAGGGCTTCTCGCCGGTGTGCACGCGGATGTGGTTGATGAGCTTGTATTTGGCCTTGAAGGGCTTGCCCTCGCGCGGACAGTCCTCCCAGAAGCAGACGTGGCTGCTCTGCTCGGGGCCGCCCACGTGCTCCACCGTGACGTGATTCACCAGCTCGTGCATGGTGCCGAAAGTTTTGGAGCAGGGCTTGGC